AATCAAGAGGTAAGTGCAAGAGGTGAGCATATTCCATCAAGAGGTAAGTGCAAGAGGTGAGCATATTCCATCAAGAGGTAAGTGCAAGAGGTGAGCATATTCCATCAAGAGGTAAGTGCAAGAGGTGAGCATATTCCATCAAGAGGTAAGTGCAAGAGGTGAGCATATTCAATCAAGAGGTAAGTGCAAGAGGTGAGCATATTCCATCAAGAGGTAAGTGCAAGAGGTGAGTATATTCCATCAAGAGGTAAGTGCAAGAGGTGAGCATATTCCATCAAGAGGTAAGTGCAAGAGGTGAGCATATTCAATCAAGAGGTAAGTGCAAGAGGTGACCATATTCCATCAAGAGGTAAGTGTATTCCCATCTTCTAGAATCATTTAGAGCTCTCGGTACCCTGTAAGGTTTTTACCACCGAGTGGTAAGTAAACTTAGGATAACCCAATTTTTCCACTTCAATATTGTTATAAATCAGAGGTGAATCAATACAAAAATTAATTTTTACATTTTATTAAAAAAAAAAGTGGCATAAAACAGAGGTAAATCAACCCACAAAATATTTTTTTTTACATAATCTTACCACAGTATTACAATTCCTATTACAATTTTTTTACCTAGTCTTACCACAGTATTACAATTCTGCATCGACACCATGCCTAACCTTCTAGGGTAGAGTAGGTGCCTGAGTCCGAGCCTTTAGCTCATAAGACTGTCATTCCCATTTGCTCCCTTGGGGCGGGGATGGCAAACCAGAGAGGCCTAGCTTGTGGCTAGGCCTGGGGACAGTTGGTCCCAAAGATGAGGAGGTACTTGTACCTCCTCCCATGGGAGACTTAAGTCTCAGACACTCCCTAAAGAGGGAGCCAAGGCCGGGCCACCACTTGGAAAAGGCCCGGGCCGGGAGAATACCGGCTAATCTTTAATAATAATAAAATAATTACAATTCTGTAGGCCTGAGCTTGCTACCATCTGCAGCTTATAAGACTGCCATCCCCACGAGCCCCTTTGAGGCGGGGTAGATGGCAGACCAGAGGCCTAGCTTCTTCCTACGAGCCCCGTGAGGGCGGGGAATGTGGCTAGGCCTGGGGACACTTGGTCCCAAAGATGAGGAGGTACTTGTACCTCCTCCCATGGGAGACTTAAGTCTCGAGACACTCCCCAGATAGGGAGCCAAGGCCGGGTCACCACTACTTGGAAAAGACCCGGGCCGGGAGAATACCGGCGAGAAAAAAAAAAAAATTACAATTCTTAAATAACACAGAAGGTACTCATATCATGGTATTACAGTTCCTGAATAACACACAGAATGTTGTCTTAACATAGTGCTATAAATCCTGGGTCTACCTTTTACTTCAGATTGAGTTCCCGGCACTCTGGGTCCCGCCTTTTACACTCTTTAACATCACTCGGTATCCAGTAAGGTTTAACCTAATTTCTTTTTTGTGGGTAAACATTAAATAACTCATGACAGAATTTTATTTTTTTAACTTTTTTTTTACAAATTTTTCACCTTTCTTTTAATATTTTCCACTTTTTATGCTAAACACTTACCCAAGAGGTACATCAAACATTACATACATAATACAAATATTAGCAAGAATGAAAACAATTTTTCAGCGTTTTCTATAGTAAACACTTACCCAAGAGTTACATCAAACATTACATACATAATACAAATATTAGCAAGAATGAAAACAATTTTTCAGCGTTTTCTATAGTAACAATACCATCAACATTCACATTACCAACAATGATCACTTTCCTTATATGCACACTCGACTGCTCACTCAAGTTTTGCAGCTGAAATGGTGGCGCTTTCACCCTTTTATATGCCAGGACAGGATTTCCTGTTAATTTTTTGGTCGTAAAGCACATGCTAATAACCATAAAAACAGAATTTTCAACCTCATGAGTTCTATCAGACAGGAGTAGAAACAGATGTTCCCACGCATACCAAGTTGATTAATGATCTGTCACTGATTTCCGGTCACAGACCTTCACCCACATCTATGCACATGTAATAGTCATTAATCATCTGTCACCCAGATCCCTCGTCTCTGCAGGGGGTGCTTCCGCTTCTAACCACATGAGACTCTGCATCCCTCTCTTCCTGTCAAGACATTCTCTTCAGAACACAAAAATCATGTTCACCAACTCCATATCATGATTACCATTATCTAAAAATAATCAGGGCAAAGCACTAAGATCAATAAACAATACATGCTGTATAGCCCTTGTGGCTTAGCGCTTCTTTTTGATAATAATAATAATAATAATAATAATAATAATAAACAATACACATTTTATTATACATATTCCCTGACATCACACTAACGAAGATCACTATTACTATTATCACAGATCAAGATCTGTGATATACAGTTCAAGATCTTAAAATCATCACTCTTCATAAATTTTTCCGCTGATAAATCTTTATTCTCATTACCTTACCTGCAGGAACTCACAACACAGTCTACTAAAGTAGGTTTTGTGATAATATTTGAATACCTCCAGAACCACATTTGAACACCTCCAAAACAACATTTGAATACTCCTAGATTACTTTGAGTATCCTCAAAACAACATTTGAGCATATCCAAATAACATTTTAGTACTTCTAGATTACTTTGAGTACATTCAAAATAACATTTGAATACTCCTAGAATACTTTGAAAACCACCAAAATAACATCTGAATACTCCCAGATTACTTTGAGTACCTCCATAACAACATTTGAACACTCCGAGATTACTCTGAGTACCTCCAAAATAATATTTGAGTATTCCTAGATTACTTTGAGCACCTGCAAAACCACATTTGAGTACTCCCTGATTACTTTGAACACCTCCAAAACAACATCTGAATACTCCTGGATTACTTTGAACATCTCCTGAACAACATTCACATTACAACAAGAAATTATATTCACTACACGCTGTCTCCAAACAATGCACTACACTCGCACTCATACACGCTCATTATACACAACATCCATATATTACATAGTTGTCCCAACCCTTATTTTTTTTAAATTTTTCCTTAAATCTTTTATAGGTGTCTCGTAGCTCGATCACTAGGGTACTCAGCTCACACTGTGAGGTCCGGAGATCGAATCTCCTCCGGTAAGACTGGAAAACATTAGGGACGTGTTTCCATAAGACACCTGCTGTCCCTGCCCTTGTTCAACAATCAATTTAACCCTTCGACTGTTTTGGTCGTACATATACGTCTTACGAGCCACCGTTTTTGACGAATATATACTCATAAATTCTAGCGGCTTCAAATCAAGCAGGAGAAAGCTGGTAGGCCCACATGTGAGAGAATGGATCTGTGAGGTCAACGTGCACCATATAAAAAATCCTACAGCATGCAGTGCATGAGAAAAAAAAAATCCTACCTTTTTTTAATTAAATTGCCAACTTTGTGGTCAATTTTCGTATAGTATTTATGGGTGTATTCTCGTTTTCTTGGTCTCATTTGATAGAATGGAAAACATAGTATAGAAACTGAGATGATTTTGATTGGTTTTACTTTGAAAAGAACCTTGAAATGGAGCTCAAAATAGGGTAAATGTTTGATTTTTGCCGATGTTCAAAAGCAAACAAATGATGTCATTTTCCAATAAATGTCCAACTAGCCAAGTTCTAATATGCAGTCATGAATGGGGTGACAATATTTATACAATTATTACAATATTGCAGCAGTCTGCATAACAGACTGTTTGGATAAAAATTCAAAATAGAAAGCAAGAGTAATATCAGAGGGGCCTGGAGACGTGACTGATGAACAGAAAAAAATGTTATTTTAGAGCCAGGAATGTCTGCATTGTTCATTCTGGACCCTATTTTGAAATTGTCATATTTTTTAATTTTCGTGAAATTTGCCAAATTACAAATTTCTGATCATGTTATTGGGTAGTTGAAATCAGTAAATGGGTAGTTTCTTGTACTCAGTCGATAGAGAAAAGGGAGTTCTAAAGAAATAGCTATGAGTTTGGTCGACTGGAACAACGGAATTAGCCGAAAATAGGGCTCAAAGTGGGCGAAATCGCCGATTCGTAAATATCGCAGAGGTCGCTAACGTCGCGAGAGCATAATTCCGTCAGTTTTCCATCAAATTTCGTTCTTTTGGTGTCATTACAATCGGGAAAAGATTCTCTGTAATTTCATAAGAAAATAATATTTTTTTTTAAATTTTGCGACACCAGGAGACACCTCAGAATTTGGGATTGAGACAGTCAAGGGGAATGGGTACCTGGGTGTTAATCGACTAGTGTGAGTCGCATCTTGGGACAAAAACTGACCTAATTTGCCCTAAATGCTCAGCAGAACACGCGGTTTTCTATATAGTAGCATGTCATTGATGTCGGCTAGAACAGTATGCCTTGTACATGAATTTACAGTAAATAAAGATATTATTATTATTATTATCATTATTATTATTGTTATTTCCGATGTTTAACCTAAGAGAGCTCAATTATTTCTCGAGAATTTTTTTCACTTAACACAACATTTAACCAACCGAGCTAATGGTATTTCAACTTCTGAGTCAGTCTTTATATCTCAGATAGAGCTAGAGTCCAGCTGAGCTAATGGTATTACAACTTCTGAGTCCTCACCTCTTTAGATTACTCCCTCACTCATGTTGTTCTTGCTCCACCATCTAATAATGAAGACTGCGTAATATAACCTTCTTGTGTGCGTAGGGAATGGATACTTTCCACTAGCGACATTTTTTTGTTATTCAGATGGTACTCTTTCTCATGTTGCCATCTCGAGCGTTATACAAATGGTAAAATTTCTCAAATATATTTTGCAACTTGTTATACATGAACGTGTATTCTTCCTTCAGTTAACTTAAAGTTATCCAATTCTTATACATTATTTAACGTAAGATATAAATTGGTAAGTTTTCACAGTAAATAACCTCTAGTTACATTGAAAAGTTACATGGCAATGACTGATTTAAAATTCGTCATGAGTTAAATATTTTATTAGACGCTTTCTGTTTATAAATGAAATTCCTGTCATATTAATTGGAGTACAACTTCTCTATTGAATGAAACAACACATGTTATTACAGTGATGCTCTCTAAACATCAGATAATCGTCTCTGTCTTTCTTCAAAAGTTGTTTCAGGGTGTTGCAAAATTCCAACCAAGGAAGATCTTTCACCACTTTGCATATAACAGTGATGCGCACCTTCGCTGAAATGTGTTCGATATAGTTCAGTATCCCGGGACTAACTCATGGCAGATGCAATTTAATATAGACAAATGCAAAGTTGGATAGGAAAATAACCATGCCACATATAAACTAAATAATGTTGATCTTAATATTACTGATTGCGAAAATGATTTAAGAGCTCTGGTTAGCAGTAATCTGCAACCAAGACAACAGTGCATAAATGGTCGCAATAAGGCTAACAGAATCCTTGGTTTCATATCAAGAATTGTAAATAATAGAGGTCCTCAGGCTTTCCTTCAACTCTATATATCTTTGGTTAGGCCAAATTTAGATTATGCTGCACAGTTATGGTCACCATATTACAGAATGGATATAAATGCTCTGGAAAACGTACAAAGGAGGATACAAAGGTGATCCCATGTAACAGAAATCTTCCCTATAAGAACATAAGAACATAAGAATGAAAGAACATTGCAACTGACCCATGCGGAGCAGGTCCATGTCCCTCCCCCCGGATTAGCCCAATGACCCACCCAGTCTGGTCACCTCCACTTAATGAAGGAGCAGGGCACCAGACCCAGCAGCACAAGCTAGTCAGGTCCAACTCACACCCACCCACACCCACTCATGTATTTCTCTAACCTATTTTTAAAACTACACAACGTTTTAGCTTGAATAACTGTACTCGGGAGCTTGTTCCACTCATCCACAACTCTATTACCAAACCAGTAGTTTCTTATATCCTTCCTACATCTGAATTTTTCCAACTTGAAACCATTGCTGCGAGTCCTGTCTTGGCTGGAAATTTTCAGCACGCTATTTACATCCCCTTTATTTATTCCTGTCTTCCATTTATACACCTCGATCATATCCCCCCTAATTCTACGCCTTTAGAGAGAGTGCAGATTCAGGGCCCTCAGTCTATCCTCATAGAGAAGATTTCTGATACATGGGATTATCTTTGTCATCCTCCTCTACGTTTTCCAGAGCATTTATATCCATTCTGTAATACGGTGACCAGAACTGAGCAGCATAGTCTAAATGAGGCCTAACCAAGGATATATAGAGTTGAACAACAACCTGAGGACTTCTATTATTTATACTTCTAGATATGAAGCCAAGAATTCTGTTAGCTTTATTGCGAACACTAATGCACTGTTGTCTTGGTTTTAGATTACTGCTAACCAGAACTCCTAAATCTTTTCGCAATCAGTAGTATTAAGATCTACATTATTTAGTTTATATGTGGCATGGTTATTTAACTGTCCAACAATTAGAACTTTGCATTTTTCAATATTAAACTGCATCTGCCACTTCTCCGACCATTGCATCAGTCTATTCAAATCATCCTGGAGTGCTCTAGTGTCCTCACTAGAATAAACTGGACGGCCTATTTTGGTGCCATCAGAAAATTTGCTTATGTTGCTATTTATTCCCTCATCTATGTCGTTTATGTAAATTGTGAACAACAACGGGCCCAACACTGACCCCTGAGGAACACCGCTTGTGACGTTCCCCCATTCTGATTTCTCCCCATTTATGCACTCTCTGCTGCCTATTTGTCAGCCATGCCTCTATCCAGTAAAAAATTTCTCCTCCTATTCCGTGTGCTTAAGTTTCCTCAATAGCCTCTGGTGTGGAACTCTATCGAAAGCCTTACTGGAGTCCATATACACAATATCATATTCATTACCATGATATACCTCCTCAAACACCTTAGTGAAAAAAGTTAGTAAATTCGTAAGACAGGAACGCCCCTTTGTAAAACCGTGTTGAGATTCATTAATCAATCTGTGCCTATAGAAAAGCGAAGAATTAGGGAGGATATGATTAAGGTGTATACATGGAAAACAGGAATAAATGAAGGGGATATCAATAGCGTGCTAAAAAAAATCTAGCCTAGACAAGACTCGCAGCAATGGCTTTAAGTTGGAAAAATTTCTCGTTCAGGAAGGATATAGGAAAGCACTGTTTGGTAATAGAGTTGTGGGTGAGTGGAACAAACTCCCAAGTACTGTCGTAGATGCTAAGACGTTGTGTAGTTTATAAATAGGTTAGATAAATACATGAGTGGGTGTGGGTGGGTGTGAGTTAGACCTGACTAGCATGTGCTACTAGGTCAGATGCTGTGCTCCTTCCTTAAGCGAATGTGACCTGACCTGACTAGGTTAGGGCGTCGGCTTAAGCCGGTAGGAGAACTGGACCTGTTCTGCATGGGCCAGTAGGCCTGCTGCGGTGTTCCTTCTTTCTTATGTTCTTAACTAACAAAAGAGTTGCCGAGTACTACATAAAAATTTGCCAAATAGTATTACATACAAAAAAATTATACTTACATAAACTAGGATCGGCCATTTCAAAATCCATTTTAGTAAATATATTTTGGGGTTTCGGAGTAATAAAACTGAAAGATAAATGATTACTCCGTTCACATTCCCGTTCCAATAAATTTTCTAACATTTCATCACTCCATTGTTGAGGTATTTCTCGTATCTCAGCTGCAGTCTCTCCTTCTGAGAGAACACGTTCCGCTACATCTCTTCTTTGCTCGTGTTCAAATCTCTTAATGGTGTAGATAACTAACGTAGATAACTTCATTGACTTAATGTATTTTACTTGTACCTTTTTCTTAGTTATTATATGTAAACAGATTTTATACACAACTTATGAATTACCACGACCTTTTTCTAGCTGAATGGGCCTTTAATGTAAATTTGATCAAAAAAGTTGGAGCGTCTCTATTTTCCGAGACGATCAGGGTGTTTACTAAAATACTTGAAGTCTCTAAATACACGAGAACTTCTATACAATGAAAGTTTCAAAAGATCTCACAATTTCTAGTTACTTTAGAGAATGAAGCTCTAGAAATAATAGCTTCTCAATTTAAGTTGAAATGAGTAAGCAATGAAAACCTTCTCTATACCTAGAGAGATGCTGCACTGACTACTCTACTCCTCTCACCTCTGACGTAAGCTCGAGTCAGGCGAGTAGTAACCAGAGGTGAGGTCATACTAACAATAAATGGTTGTTACCACTGGTAAATGATTCATCCGATATATATATATATATATATATATATATATATATATATATATATATATATATATATATATATATGGCAGATGTTGCAGGTGTATGGTGTAGGAGGTAGGTTACTGGAAGCAGTGAAGAGTTTTTACGAGGATAGTGAGGCTCAAGTTAGAGTACATAGGAAAGAGGGAAATTATTTCCCAGTAAAGGTAGGCCTTAGACAGGGATGTGTGATGTCACCGTGGTTGTTTAATATATTTATAGATGGGGTTGTAAGAGAAGTAAATGCGAGGGTCTTGACAAGAGGCGTGGAGTTAAAAGATAAAGAATCACACATAAAGTGGGAGTTGTCACAGTTGCTCTTTGCTGATGACACTGTGCTCTTGGGAGATTCTGAAGAGAAGTTGCAGAGATTGGTGGATGAATTTGGTAGAGTGTGCAAAAGAAGAAAATTAAAAATGAATACAGGAAAGAGTAAGGTTATGAGGATAACAAAAAGATTAGGTGATGAAAGATTGAATATCAGATTGGAGGAAGAGAGTATGGAGGAGGTGAATGTATTCAGATATTTGGGAGTGGACGTGTCAGCGGATGGGTCTATGAAAGATGAGGTGAATCATAGAATTGATGAGGGGAAAAGGGTGAGTGGTGCACTTAGGAGTCTGTGGAGACAAAGAACTTTGTCCTTGGAGGCAAAGATGGGAATGTATGAGAGTATAGTTTTACCAACACTCTTATATGGGTGTGAAGCATGGGTGATGAATGTTTCAGCGAGGAGAAGGCTGGAGGCAGTGGAGATGTCATGTCTGAGGGCAATGTGTGGCGTGAATATAATGCAGAGAATTCGTAGTTTGGAAGTTAGGAGGAGGTGCGGGATTACCAAAACTGTTGTCCAGAGGGCTGAGGAAGGGTTGTTGAGGTGGTTCGGACATGTAGAGAGAATGGAGAGAAACAGAATGACTTCAAGAGTGTATCAGTCTGTAGTGGAAGGAAGGCGGGGTAGGGGTCGGCCTAGGAAAGGTTGGAGGGAGGGGGTAAAGGAGGTTTTGTGTGCGAGGGGCTTGGACTTCCAGCAGGCGTGCGTGAGCGTGTTTGATAGGAGTGAATGGAGACGAATGGTTTTTAATACTTGACGTGCTGTTGGAGTGTGAGCAAAGTAACATTTATGAAGGGGTTCAGGGAAACCGGCAGGCCGGACTTGAGTCCTGGAGATGGGAAGTACAGTGCCTGCACTCTGAAGGAGGGGTGTTAATGTTGCAGTTTAAAAACTGCAAGACAGTGATGGAGTGAATGATAGTGAAAGCTTTTCTTTTTCGGGCCACCCTGCCTTGGTGGGAATCGGCCAGTGTGATAATAAGACATATATATATATATATATATATATATATATATATATATATATATATATATATATATATATATATATATATATATATATATATATATATATATATATATATATATATTTTATATATATATATATATATATATATATATATATATATATATATATATATATATATATATATATATATATATATATATTTATATATATGCAATAAGATCACAGTAAACAGGTGATTTCAGAATATGCCAAAAACCCACTAAGAAAGAATAAGGAATTCCAAGCGTTTTCGTGACTACTCACATTATCAAGGAACAATAAAAGAAATGCATCAAAGGAAGGCATATAAAGGGTCTAGCCCACACCTCTCTGTCACATCCCACACCAAAGAAACACCTGACGCGCGACTCATAAGAAAGGGAACACTGCAGCAGGCCCGCTGGCCCAACTAGACAGGTCCTTCACACAACCCACCAACAAACTATTCTACCCAAGAATTAAGAATTTAAAAATTTATTATTTGTCCAATGTATTATTAAATTCTTCCCAAATTCTATTAATTATAAATGGATCTAATTTTTATAAACCAAAGGAAATATTCATATTATTGACAAAACTGCTTTTTATGAATAAAATAAAATTAATTAAACAATAAAACAATATAACTTCTACTGAAAGGCAAAGATGAATTAGTCAAACAATTCACTTCCACTAATCCATCTTTACCTTATATGTATGGACTAATAAAAACACACAAACCAGGGAATCCAGTCAGACCAATTATTAGCTCCATAGGGTCAGTTTCATATAAATTATCGAAATGGCTTGTTGGCATTTTGAGCCCTATTGTTGGCAAAATTTCTAACTTTAATGTTAAAAACAACATAGACTTGGTTGATAAATTAAGCTCATTGACTAACTTAAATGATTTTAACATGGTTAGGTTTGATGTTACTTCCTTGTTTACGATAACTCCTGTTGATGAATTATTAAGTTTCTTTTCTGAAGAACTCGGTAATTATGATTTACCATTGCCAGTTCCTACTATCA